AACTTGATCCTAAAGAATAAAATGCAAATATAATTGTTAAACAGAATAGTCAGTCTACCAGATAAGTCTAAGGTATGTGAGTCAGCTTTCCTGAATTAGTCCGGTGTCTACCTTTCACCAGAATTCGTTTCCTATCTACCTTTCACCAAGTGATCTTGAAAAAGATGCAATCCCACTTAGTGCCTCAGCTACCTTATCAACTAAACTAGAATATAAAATACATGTCTCACAGAGAGCTGAGAAGACCTTTTATTTGTGATAAAGGAGTAATGACAATAATTTACTGCTATTAGAGAATGAAAAAGTAGTTTGATTTTTACTATTTGGTATGCAGATGCCTAGTAACCATAAGTAAGAAAAATTCAATTGTACCTGGTACTGTACAAAAACCTAAAAAGAAAGAAATTCTGACATTGAAAGTTACAGATATGAAAAATTATGGGAGAAACAAAAGCACTTGACATCATTACAAGAAACATCTCAGCATTGTAGACCTCATACATGTATTGAACTAGGTTTTTTTGGGTGTGAGGGTGAAGTGTGGTGCAAATAGAAGCTGGGTAGAATTAACATTGTTCTTAATTTCAGAATTGTTATTCAGCAAGAAAACCAAGTGAGAAACACAAACTGACAGACCACAGAAATTAGAGGCAATGAAAAATCTGGGTTTCTTATTCCAAGAACAGTTAGTGTGAGATCACTACCTTTCATAAAAATAATAAAGGCTTTTTTTTTTATTCCAAACAGGAAAAAAACAGGTTCCTGAAACTTAAAAGTGAACAATAGGGACAACAGCAGCCAAGAGAAAGGAAGAGAATTTCATAACTAAGAAAACATCCATAATTTGAGAAACATCAAAGTATGTATCGCTAATGGACACTCCTAGCCTAAAAGCAGATAAGGTTTAGAACTTACTTTCTCATATCTTTCCTTCCAATTCTTGGACAATAGTGAGGTTTTCTTTATTATTCAGAATGAATTAGCTGAGCAGACCCACCAGGCACATAATGGACTTGTAAAATTATTTCCTTTCTATGCTCAGACCAGATAAGCAGATCTTAAGAGGAGAGAACACTGAAATTTTCCTTTGCTCTCTGGTTTCTGAAAGAGTTGTAATTCATGTTTCTCAGAGCATGAGGAGGCATGAGATGAAGGACCTAGTAAAAGCCTGAAGACAATATTCTCCTTTTTCATCAAGGCTATTTCACAAGTATATTTGACTCACAAGAGTAACATCATTTTCAACATATATCCCATGTGCTCTCCAAGATTTTACCTTCAGGAGATTTTAATCCAGCAGTTAGCTTGTTTGTCTGATGCCCATTTAGGTTCCCCTTCATAATAGGGGGTTTTTTTTTAACATCACATAGCTTTGGCCATGCTCCAAAGTTTTTTTAAGACAAGAATTCAATGGACTGCTATATAGTAAATTTATGCAGAAATTACTGTCAGTCATGTGGGCAGCTACCAAGCCTCACTGTGATTGGAACTAATAACTATTACCAAGATACGATAATTTAATTTAAAATTAGCAAACCATCTGGTGTCTTTATATCTTGTTGTAACACAGTGTCTCTGTTTTACTCAATCCACTCTCATTAAAACAAGACAAAAGTAGCTAAGGATAAACATACACACAGAAGATAAATTTATCCTCTCAATTATCTTTGTGCAACCCTTACCCCCAGAACTCATACCTTCTTAGATTTTTGAAGTATTAGAGTACTACTAAAATCTAATCTGATCTCCTGTATAATGAAGGCTATCTCTTTGACTGAGTAACCTCTAAATCAAAAGAACAACATGTTTGTGCTATGCTGCATCTATCTTCCTCATAATGGCTGCCTTTGATGGATGAATCCAACCCACTCGTAGATAAGTTATACCAGTGGTTAATGACTCTTACTCTTAAAAATATGCACCTTATTTCTAGTCTGAATTTCCCTAACTTCAGCTGTGAAACATTGGATCTCATTATGCCTTTTTCTGCTAGATTAGTGAGTCATCTACTGTCAAAAGCCTCATTCCCATTAAGGCACTTGCAAACCATGATCAAGTCACCTCTTAACCTTCTCTTCAGCAGATTAAACAGACAGATCTTTAGCCTCTAACTGCAATGCTTATTTTCAGACCTACAGTCATTCTTTCACCTTTAATGAACTCTTTCCAATTTTAAGCATATTTTCAAAATGTGATGACCAGAACAGGACAATAAAGTTCATCAGTATTTTCCTTAATGCCATACAAAATGGCACTTCCTACTTGATATTCAGCTATCTATATATAGGAGAATATAATATATACCATTTAAAACTCTTTTATCAGAGTTGTGTGCTTAAGTGCTTTTTGCATTTTTTATCATTCTCTATGAGATATTAAATTCTAGCAGAAACTTGTAATGCAATTAGACTTAAAGTATTATTTTAAAATATTTTCTTGCATTTTTCTTTTTTTTTTATGTAACAAAATTACATTCCTGAAGTAATTGGCTTTTGCTAACTAGAAGTATGTTTTGAAAACACTCAAATGCAGATACACTAAGTTGACCAAAATTATAGTACTTCATTTTCTGATAACTCTACATCATTAGGGAAAAATACCTAATTTTGCCAGGAAGTTCACAATTAGACTGTATATATAGATGTTTTGGTTTATCTTTCATGGAATATATATGTAATTAACTACATTCCTTACACAGGCACCTCTAGTGAATAGCATTTATATCAGGAAAACCCTAATGTTCTCCTGGAGATTGCTTCAGACACTGAATTAATCAAATGGGATTGTATAGTTTTCATTTACTTTCCTGTTTGAGCATGATTTTCACTTATTGATAATCTGCAAGAATGGATGTAGCTACATCTAATGCATAAGTTTAAATTAATTTCATTAGGTAAATAATATCCATTAATAATAAAAATATTAATAGTAGTAGCAAATAATATAAACTGATTTTCTACTAGATGAGATGATAAACAACATAAAAATATTTCAAATCAGTTGGTTCCAAGTTGGAACAGTTCTTAATTATTGGTTCAGTTTCATGTCATGAAACACTTGCTAATAATGACAATAATCCAGAAAATATATGTTTTCAATAGACAAAACCTTAATTTGACCCTAATTTGAATAAATAAATCCTATGTTTTCTTATGATTTCTCTTTTTCACTCATAGTGAAGGAGGAAAATTCATTAATGTAAAAAAAAAAGTAATATTAAATGGTGTGATCTGATATCCTAAATCTGTTGTGTTTAAGTCTAGGGTTATTTCAACTGCAGCTAAAAATCTTCAATGAAGGATGTGAAAATGTTATTTCATTAGACGTAATGCCTCTTTAGATCTTGGATACAATGCATTAGAAAATTAGAAAATATATCTGGACAAACATAAACAGAAGAAAAAAGAGAACAGAAAGGAATAATTCTGCAGAAAAGGGAGTACTAAATTAATATGCAGAGGGAAAAAAGTCCACAGAAAGAGGAATAGTCTCTGTGCACTTAGAAATTTAGAAAACCCATATTAGAAGTATTAAAAAAAAAAAAAAGTGAATCAGAAAATTAACGATGAGAAGGAAAACTAAAAATTTAAAGTTTCTTCCTAATATTTCCACAGTGTCCACAGTTTGAATCTAAAATAGAATTAGATCAAAATTTTCTGCCATACTAAAATTAAGTTAAATCCCTACAGTGTTTTCTGGTGGTTCAATAAATACCTTCCGTTATTTCTTTATGTCTTGAGACAAAAATAATTTTGACTTTTAAAATACTCAGTCTTTAAACTTTCAATGTTGTTTCTTAACTACTTCACATATTTTCTGACACAAAGAGATCTCTGATTGATTAGTTACTTCTATCAATTTCATCAGCTCCTTTTCCAATGAGTATTCTGAGGAGAACACTCAAAACTTTCTCAATGCATGGTTTTAGTTAAGCAGCGTGAAACATTCTGACATATTGGAGTTGAATGATTTTTATTTCCAAGCAGAAGCTGAAAGCCTTAGAAATTATTTATTTTTTAAATTAAAACTATACACTTTGATTGGGTACGAGGTATGTGGTCATAAGATTAAATAGAGATTATTTAGCCTTGATATGTAAACAAATCTTGTGCTCTTTAAATTTCATGAGGGTAACTGAGCACACAGTCTTCAATTTCTGAACCAGTTTAAAAGCTACCTTGGAAGTTAGTTTGCTGATTACAAATGTTAATGTGACAGCCAATGCCGAGCTTTAGGTGATAGCATAATAATTCTTAAAACTAGGCTGTAGTAGCCAAAAAAGTCTTCAGAAATTACCAAAGATCAGGCAAATATTGTTAAATATCTCTCTGGAAGATCTAAGACACTGTGCTATCCAACATCAGGAGTCAGAGAACAAACCATCTTCTCTCCTTTCATAAATATTTATCACTAATTTGAGTCAGCTTAAATGCCTGATGAATCCAGACAAGAAATATTTTCCTTTAATTCAGTATCTCACTTCACTATATGTCAAATTTAATTATTTTAGTAGCAGGTTAAGAGGAACAGAAAAGCTGGGATAATCTGAGCTTTTTACATGAACCTAAAATTTCATTCAAAAGTTTCTCAAAATTATGAAGTCCAAAAAGTTTTCCTCAGTACAGCCATTAATATCCTTAGTGTTTCTTGAGTAAAGACTACAATTAGGTATAATGCTGTTGAATTAAAACTGAATTTTAATATGACGAAGTTTAATCTTGTAAACAGCTACAGCAGATCTGAGGAAAGTACTCAGCTTTCTTCACGTACTTCACTATTTTAAATTCAATTCATTAATAGAAAATCATCAAAAAGACTTTTTCTTTTCTGTGAGTGATTTTTCATTTGATTCCTTTGCTATCTTTTTAATCAATAAAAAGGTTTCCACTTGTTTTTCACAGCATCAGGAATCGTAGTAGTTGCCCTTCAGCAAGGTGCAAAAGCTTCCCCCCCCACAAAATCAGGTTATAACATCTTCTCAAACAGAATATAAAACTTACCTTGAAAAAAGTCATGGTTGCTCCATCTTCAACTGCCCCATACTCTATCTTTGTCTGCTTGGCCAGGTCGTCAGCAGAATCAATAGGGGACTCCATACGTTCCACTGTCAGAAAGGCGGCTAGGTTAGCAGTGTACGAAGAAATGATGATAAGTGTGAAAAACCACCAAATGCCTCCCACTATCCTGGTGGAGAGGGCTTTAGGCATGAGCTCAGAACCTAACGAAAACCAGGGGAGAAAGGTGAAACGGATGCACAGAAAACAATTAATAAGTGTTCAGCACTTTTTGCCACAGTGGGGAAATGGAATCACTGTGCAAAAAAATCTTTAAGCTACAGGTTTAGATGTACTGCTTGTACAAACAGTCACAACTGAAATGCAAAATAACTGGTTAAATTTATAAATACATATCTTTTTGGAGCTGTGGGAATCAAAATATAGTAATGGGAGATTCAGTGATCAGTGCCATTTTAAAATTTCTAAACATATATATGAAAGTACTAATACTAAAAAAGCAGTTACTTCAACTTGCTTTCCAGAAAAAAATAAGCAATTGATGAAGGTATCAAACGTGAAATAGAGGATTTCATATCTGAAAAACAAAATTTTATATCTATTATAAATATGCTTTTAAGTTTTGTCATTTGCATTGCTGTAAAGGATAGTATATTAAATGTTGAGATAAAAAAAATAACATCTCCCATCTCTATGTTTAGCCCCACAATTTCATATAAATATGGGTGGCTATGCTACACACTTCAATTTAATAGAATAGCAATAAAAATATTGGACTTCTATGCATAAACTAGATAAAGATAGATTATAATGCATTGCTGGAGTTGCCTGCTCATGGCACTAAAGAATGGAGGGAGAGACAGACACTGTAGAGTAATTTGCATAATTTTTAATGCAAATTTAGAGCCTAATGAGACAAATTGAAGCACATAAACTCCTCTTGTGACTAATTATAAAAAATAGGAATAAATTAAATTCACTGTAATATACAATTACAAATATTTATTATAAATGAGCATATATGGATTTTTTCCATAATGTTATAATTGAATGAAATGAAATTTCTAATGATATCAAATAAACAATTTCAAGCTTCATTTTAAGAACTTTACGTAAGATCTTTTAGAAGTATCTGGAAACTTGTTTTCATGGAAACAGTTTCATCATATCCACTACACCATTGTACCGAAACAACCCCTTTTTGTTAATCGGTTACTATGTTTGCTCTTATATCTCCTGGGTAAAATGGAATGAAGGCAAGATGGACTATTTTATTCCTGTTAAATTTTAGTGCTTATATTGAATTAGTTAAGGAACTGGTCCAGCAAGGTAACACATCTTCATATAGGTGAAAGATTATGTCAAACTTCCAAACTCAACGTGAAAAAAAGAACAGAAAGGCTAGGGAGGGAGGGAGGAAGAAAACAAAAGAAAAGGAAAAAAAGAAGTGGTATCATAACTGGACTACTGTATTCAAAAACAGCCCATCTTACCCTGCAGTTCATCTTACCCTTGCGGTTTCAAACAAAAAAGGCTGACAGACTTGGACATGACAGCCAACTCCAGCGCCAGACTCTGCCTAGAATTCTGCAAGGGAAAAAGTAGAAAAGTACCTGTCTGATGGAGTTGCTCCTAGGCCCTGTTAGTCAGACACTTAGACACCATAACACTAAGAGATTTCCCAACAAACCCACTATCATTAACTCTTTTTAATTGCTGTCATTTCATTTTAAAAACCAACACCAGTAAAGTCAGACAGGACTGGAAAGAAGAGAAGAGTGGAGACATTCGCCGCAGTTCCCCAGTTCCCATGAGCTTGGACCTTACCAAGGACTGAAACCGAGTGCCACCTGGGCCCATGAATCAGAGCCTGGTCAGGGGCTGACTGTCATGTACCCAAGGTAACGTCATGTCCAGCACTATATCCCACAGTTTCCTGGGAGCGAGAGGTGCCAGCAAGACATGTATGAGTTTCCTCTATCATGTATCCTCCAGCACTAAGCAAATCTTTTGCAAAGAAGCAGCACTTAATATGTTGATATCAGTATGGCCCAAGAGTTTCTATATTATTTCTAAAGCAAAGTTATTGCTATTGTGAGAACTTCCATGCTTGTCTGAAACCCTACTTTTAGACGACTTTAGGTTTTTGAGATTTTTTTTTTTTAAAGCCATCATCAAAATCAAGACTGATACTGAATCCTTAAAATGGTGTCTTTAAGGTTTATTAAAGGATGAACTGAGTAAAGGTAAAACAATATAAGGCAAGGACAGAGGGTCAGTCTTAATTCTGAAAAACTAGTTTTCCTTCAAGGAAAACTATTATCCTCCAAAGATATCTTTTTAAATGAATGTTGGTTTTTTTTTTTCTTATTTTGATTTTCAAAAACAATGTTTAGATGTTAAGGACTAAAATACCTTTTTCTTGCAAAAAGATGATACAAAAATCTAAATTGCTTTTTCCATCATAGAAGCATAAAGCCACATAAAACTCAGCATTGATAGAGGTTCTGACAATCCTGAGAACTGTGAATGGAATTCAAAATACCTTATTTCATTCAGCATCCCTTTTTTTGATAGCTTCCTTAAAAGCAATCATTATCTTACAAACATGTATTTGGTAATTGTGTTTCTACTATATAACTCCTTGATATGTATATTGACAACCTAGTTGATAGAAACACTTAGCCAACTATAGATGTATTTTTTTTATTTCTGATTTGAAATCCTGATTTCTTTTTACCCATTAATTCATGTTTTTCTGAGGCATTAGAGACTTTTTAAGCCTACAACCTGATATATGAGAGAATATTTACTGCAGTTACAGGAAATCTTCATTAAATCATGTGATGAGTTAAAACCAGGATTTATTTATAGGTGGTGTACTTATAATGGTAAGTTTTAAAAATGATTGCTCAGGTATATCCATTAAAACAACTCTATCAATATGCACTGGTTCCTGCCAACATTTTCTATTATTTTTTTGGGGGGATATGCAATGGTTATTTTTCCAGAAAGAAAACCCATTCCTTTTAATGTCTCTTTAATAGGACTTTTGTATTACACTATACTGCCTAGCGAAATGTCAGTGCAAAAAATGAATCTGTGCTATTCAAATGTGTTTGATATTATATGACTGTGTTCAAATCCTTATGGAAAAGGGCAATAAAATGGTGATATATTTTTATGGATCTATATATTTGGTATGCTTTCAAAATAAGAGGGATATGGCAAGGAAATTACAGATTTTTAAGAATGCTTAAGTATTTTACTAGGACAGTTATAATTAAAACTGGGTGTTGGTTTTACTCTGAGCAATATGACTACACAGCTGCCAATTTTATTGTCAGCAATGGCATCAGTTTCTCAGTGCATGGATTGTTGGATATAGAAATTGTTGAACGGTCATTCTGATTTTAAAAATATAAATTATAGCTGGACAGGATTAAATGTCCTATATTATTTTATTTTATTGTTTCTAGCTACTAGATAAAATCTTTTTGTAGTTGAAAGGTTTCTAGAACAAAATTTAAAAAATTATAGATTTTTACATTATAGTCTTATCTGATGAAGCTATACCTATTTTTAGGTTGTTTAAATGGAGGTTTTTTAGGTAATGGACATATTAACTCATTTAATTATGCGGTTAAGGTTTCCTGTTTAGGAAATAAACTGTATGGCTATGCTGTACTTTTCCTAAGTCTTAAATTCTTTATCTGTGTTCAGACTAATTTGTAAGGTGTTGGGAATGCCAGGATAATCATAAAAAAAGCTGGTTTATGGCTACATGCACAGAGGCACCCATGCAAGTGACTTGCACCAAGAACTGTTACCCCCAGCAAAAAGTGGGACATGGTGCCCAAGAGAAAGAGCAGACTGAGTCGTATACCTTGCTGCATGAGAGCTCCAACTCCAAACCAGAAACTATTTAGTAAGGTAAAATTGTTTTCCACAACGTCTGAATCAGGGTTGCAAGGATGTGGATTATACCACTCATAGGGGCTAAACCTGTGGTAATTGACAGAAAAAAGAGAACAGATTTAAAATGCAGCCATTACAAAGTCTGTCCAGCAAATCTGCTGCAAAAGAAAAAGAAAAACAAGAGAGGTTATAAAGAAAATAGCGATTGAAAGTTTTTACAGTGTGATTGCATTTTACTTAACAGCAATATAAAAAGAAAAAGCAATACTGAAGATTAACATTCTTAACTGTTGCTGATACTGATAAAGTTGCATACAGATTGGCTCTGAAAGTTTCCAAGTGCCACCTGTAAACATCAAAGCACTCATTCTTCTGTTGACACCAACAGAATTCCAGACAATTGGTCCCATTTAGGATTAGGTTCTTATAACCACTGTGTCAGTATTTTGCATCTTGAAAGAAAATTAATATGTGTTAAATCACAGAAATTAACTAGAAAAAAAAATACAACATGCAAAAATGCTTTTTTCTCACCAAAATTACAAATAATGAATATAACAGAAAATAAATAGTTAGCAGTAAAAGTGTCATTTTTAATCACCACACATTACAATTCACAGAAAAAAAATACTATAGCAAATTAAACTAATTGCATCCTGTCCTGTGAGGTGCACAGTAGCATCCCTGGAAAGGTTTTCCAAAAGAAGCTGGGGACACTCACAAGCACCTTGCAGGGCCAGGCTCTGAGAAAAGAAAAAATAAAAAAAAAAAAAAAGAAAAGAAAAAGATAAACATAAGGAAAAGACAATTTAATTAATTATCTCAAAAACAGATAGAACAGAGACAGTAGAAAGATGCCTGAGTCTGGCAATAGATTACAAGCAAATTATGTACAATCAATTTGTTTTAATTCATGGCTTTGCAAATGCTGTGCATTATGACGAGTTCATATCTAAATGCTATTTTATCAATTGTAGCTAAAACAAGCAAATATGTCTAGATAAATTATTCTCTGCTACAATTTCTTTCGTAAAAAAAAAGATTTTCAGTTCTCTCTTCCTGAAGGTACCTTTGGAGAACTTTAAATTTTAATTGCAATGTGCAGGGTTATTCTAATAATTTAAGAGTTTTAATCACCATGCCTGGACTTGGAGGCACACTGTTGATAGGGACTTTTATGCTTAAATCATGTCTTCAAATCTTTGATAATGAATACAAGTGCAATATATGCATGTGCATAATATATTTGTGTGAAAAAAATGAAAATCAAAACACAGTAGAATGGAACTAGCACAAGACACCAGCACAATAATTTTTAAAATTACAGATTTTAATTATTAAATTAGTATTAACATATTTTCATAATTTCTCAAATCATTAAAGCCACTCTGTTGAAAACCCTTGGATAGGCAGCCTTTATGAAAGAACTTTTTTGATGTATTTTATAATCAAAGCTATCTGAATAACTCATCTGTCACTTTGAAAAATAGAATTTTCTTCACAATAATATTTCAAACACATTATAATACAGAAAATCAAATGTTCCACTTTGAAGCTCTTAATGCAATGTTAAAGCACCTCTCGTCTTAAAAGTGTCTACTTGACAAAGAACTGTTTCATTTGGATCTCCAAAGTAATACTGATATGCTGTGCAAAAATGTTGATTGGGTTCTAATTAAACATTGTGACCTGAATTCTTCTATTGCTTAATAGTAAAACTAGATCAGAAGTTTATTGTCTCATTAAAAATCTAAGTATCTTTCATGTCATGTTTTTGTCAGTCCAACAAAACCTGGAAACCAAGCACTCAGTGCATCTGAAGTAGGTATTTATACTCACTTGCTGAGAGATGTTTATTTGAAGATTAAACTGGAAAACACCTTTTTCATGTGAGGACAATGTTTGCTAGACAAAACAAATATATTTTTTATTTAAATATATATTTTCAAGTGCTATTTACAGTGATTGTGACATTACTGAACAATTGAAAACATAACTTTGTAGTTTTACCTTTTTTGTTCTAATGGCTTATGTTATTTATATATTTTATATTATTTTGAAGTACAGAAAAATTGTCCATAGCTGTAAAAAAAGGAGGAAATAACCTACAAGATATACAAGATGGCTTTAGGAAAAAGAAACCATGCAATCTGAGTACTATAGTTTTAGAATTCTCTACTTATGAAGTAAGGAAAATTAATACTGGCTTATTATGGATAAGTATTGTTCTTCCTTATTTTAAGGATGATCTATGATATTAGATTATCCAGTGTAAAAATCTTAAGGTATGGATCCTTTAATCAATTTTTTGTATGTACTATATATGTGTATAAGTTTCATGCTGTTTAGCCTATTGCAATAAATATTCACAAATCACAGAGTTACAGGTTCACCTAGCAGGTTTGATAAGCCAGGATCCTGCTCAGGGCAATGTCCATTATTTCACAACAAGGGACTGTTCAGTCAGATCTCAAAAACACACAAAGACAAGAATTCCATAACTTCTTGGGAAAATCATTCCCACGTTTAGTTATCATAATGACTTTTTTTTTTTCTTTAAGTCAGGCTAGAACCTCCCTTGATTCCAAGTATAAAGAACACCATCTTTTTTTATCAGCTTCTCTTATTAGAAAGTGACTGTTAGGAAAATTCCTTCTTCCTGATCCCAGAACGGCTCACAGTAGTAAATGTGGTATAGTAAATTATATTACGAGAATTATCACTTTCCTTGATTAATGGACCTGCCTACTAATTTAAATGCAGAACACTTGCTCAATCAAGAACAAGCATAAAGCAAAAGGAGAATTTCAGTGAACAGATGCAATTTTGAAGATTGATTTTTATGACCGCTGATAACAGGTACTCTTCCCATTTACCCATTTCTATTAGTGTTTATTCATTTCAGACACAGGCTCTTAATCTCTAACACCTTCAGGTATGTAAAATACTTGGAAAAAATAGACTATAAATGAACTTTACAAGACCTGAGTTTCAGTTTTCCTAATTGCTGCTACCCACCGAAAAGGTACAAGTACTCTCCAGAACTTATTGGCTAGTGCAGGTAATATTTAAAAGTCAGCTATCTCAGCGATCCACAGGCAGAAAAGATTTGTGTTAAATTTAATTCCACTTTAGGAATGTACTATGGTATTAGAAATTAAAATTAGTATTCCCAATGATCAGACAGACCTACTCAGAACTGCAAATTATTTGATACAGACTATAATTTATTATACTCTGTATTCACACAGCATTGAAATAATAGTGTAGAAGCCCAAAAGACAAAGGATCTTATGTGTGTGTCTCAAACAGCCATAGTTGAATAGCCATGGAGCCAACCAAGGTAAGAACATGTTGTGGTAAAGAATGTGATGTGGCTGGAGAAGGAGAACATTGGCGTTTTTTGATAAATGTTTTTGTTCTGGCTCCTGGAAATAAGCACAAAACAGTACAGCTCAAGCACAGGACAGAGGTAAAAAAAGAGCCATGGACTACTGATCAAAGGCTGACCCAGTACAGATGGATCAAGGCTACCGAAGACCTCAAAGCCTTCAAACCTATTTTCAGCAAGGTCTGGAAGAACAGACCTAATCTGCACCTGATTACTAATTTGTATAGAAAGCAAGAAACTTATTTCCAGGGTGGGGAAACATAGCTGTAAAAAGGTACCTCCATGAAGCCCAGATGGTGCCGACAGGACCCTGGACACCCCAGCAGCTGGATCAGTGCTGGAGCCAGGACTAGTGATCTTTTTAGGCTCCTTAAGCCTGTTTGACTTCAGAACCTGTCATAATATTAACTGTGATCTACTGCTAGTATTTCTGCTTCTCTTTTTATCTAGGAGCTTGATTTTGTGCACTCTTGGCACAGGGAGTCTTGTGATGATGTGACAAGATGCTGTTAATTCTTGACCTGCAGGCACCCACTCTACCCTTCCAGTGTCCAGTTTGAGACAAACTCAGGAAGACACATGACTTGTTCTGGATATTCTAGAACAGTTCCTACAGTTTTGGTCTGTAAATAAAAAGACAGTCTCCTAGAGAGACATGGGACTCAGTTTATGAGCTTAGATGTGACTGTAGACACAGGGTATTTGTGCACCCACTACACTCAGAGCAGTACACAGCTGCAGAACTGTCACACACTGGCTGCTGCTTTCAGTTGCTTTCATAAAGGGTGTGGTCCATCAGTTTATCTCTGATGATGGTATGAAAATAGTATTATGTTTTGAAAGCAAATTAATAGATATTCTTAATACAGACTGTAATATCTGGAGGTAAAGACATTTTTAATTTAAGCTGTATCTTCTGGAGAGCAATACAACTTGTTAAAAAGAGCAGAAAACCCCAAACTGCAATTTAGAGAGAAGAGAAAATGGACTAGTGGAGTATATTTGTAATTGAATTTTCATTATACCAAAACACATCCACCTAGGAATATTAAACAGAATTGAATTTAAACCAGTAGGGCTATTCCTTGTGGGAAAAAGGTGTCTTGAACCATTAATAATATGTACAGGCCATTCGAGTTCTATGTGTTGCTTTCAGATATTTGCTAAACAGGTATCAGGTACTGTCATTCAATCCTATTCAGCATGCTACCTGTTAAACTCTCGTAGAGAATTTTCCAGATGGTCTGAACCAGCTTTTTTTATTTTTCTTTTTTTTTTAATTATTTTATTATTATTTGTTATTTTTCTTTTTTTCCTCAGGATGAGAAAAACCAAAACACAAGGTATTTTTAAAACACAGGCTGATACTGAATATTTAGCTAAAAATCCATAAGAGTTATCAGCTACCATTATAGCACCTGGATTTCAATTCTTATTTAAAAATTCATACTGACAAAATTTTTCATCCTTATCTCTGACATGATACTGCTTTCTGTTCTGGCCCAAGTAGAAGTTATGTAACAACTATGGAAAGGCTCAGAAAAATCTGTGTTCTACAAGATAGTTTGATAGTTAGATTGTTGAAAGACAACAATCAAACACAATAAACTTAATTCATGGTCTGATGCAGTCAGATAGAATACTTCCCTATACTCATGGAATTATGAATATAGGCAAAGGAAATAAAGAAAACACA